GTAGGAAGAAATGAAAATGTTTTGGTGACTTGGTAAAAAAATATTAACTAACACAAAAGTTTAACAGGTATATATATGAGAAGTAGTTTATAATTATTTGTCTCATATTTAAACGTGAATGTGTTTCACGAATGAAGTCCCTCGGAAATGTACGAACTAAAATGTAAAATATAGAGTTTAACACCAAATGTCAAATTTTGCGTAAACTGTGGCACAGTGTGTAAACATGTGTGAACACACAATCTACGTGATGGTAATTGGGTACTGCAGCCCATAGACATCTATATCTATCGTCGGTTAAGAATCAAAATGCAAATGCGTTTTCACCCCTGAAGACTACGATGGATTGTCTCATTTATATTAATATAATAGTTCCGAGTGATATAATAGTTTGAGTGTGAGAGATTCTTTTTGCATCATATTTTATCATAATCAGTATGAAATGGGATTCAAAAGTGAGTGTGTCTGAGTGTGAGTGTACCTACGATTCTATGATGTACTGCTAGTTATATATTGGATACATTCCAACCAAAATCACACCGAAATATTTGATTGAAGGATGCACCATTATAGTTCAATAAGTTAAATAATAACTACTCTAACTTACCTGTATTTGATGTAAGGCTTGAGCGTTTATATCATAATTCTAATAAATCGCAACAACATCAACTTCGAAATACTTAAGAAGGCTATCTATAAACTATGTTTGATATTATTCATAGTTCATCAAGTATTCATGAAAGCTAAGTTTCCAGTAACCAACCTGCATTATATGTAACTGAGCTAAGATCGGAGGTGATTAGGAATACCAAATATATCTGAGTGCACGCCTATACTATAGACACTATTATATTATCCTGGTACATACATTCTATGCACAGAACATTACATAACATTCTAATCACCTTTATACATAAATATTAAAATTAATTGTTATCCATTAGTTTCTCTAAAACTCAAAAACGACTTAAAAGATTTTGATGAGATTTTTCGTGAGTGTTTGAGTGGGTCTCTAGATGGTTTAGATTCACAATTAGTTTTGATAAGATCCAAAAATCACCCGTTCGAAGTCGGAGTGGATCAATAGTTACTTACAAATATATCGAAATATTTATTTATTTATTTATTTAAACTTTATTTGCACACATAAAAGAAATGTACAAAACGGCGGACTTAATGCCTAAAGGCATTCTATACCAGTCTACCTTTGGTTTGTGCAGAGAATCTAGTGATGGGTGCAAAACTCATAATAAAAAAAATTGAAATAATACTAGTTTTTACGGAATTTATCACGTATATTTAACTTTTTAAATACCCGACGTTTCGAACGCTTTACAGCACTCATGGTCACGGGCGGGACTGAGATGTTCAACGTCCATATGTCTACGGGTTACCATAATTAAATTTAACTTTTGTTCCGATCTATTCAGTATGAACTTATGGTATCTTGAAGTCTTGCAGTTGTATGCTTGGGTTGGGATTTAATTTTATTTTTATTTTATAGGATCCCAAGCAGATGGTAGCACCCAGCCATCTTCTCTATTGAAATTAGGATGTTTTTTGATTTCAATAGCCTCGCGAATCATCCTTGGAAGGAATCGGTGTTCTTTAGCGAGGATCTACGGTCTATCAAATCTGATGTAGTGACGGGGGCGATCCTGTAAGTGTTCACAGACTGCAGACTTCCCGGAGCGTCGATTCTTCACATCAGCTACAATATGTTCTTTAACGCGGGTTTTTATTGATCTTTTAGTTTGTCCTATGTAGGAGAGACCACATTCACAATCAAGCTTGTACACTCCTGCATCTTGCAGAGGGACATTACACTTGACCGATGGTAAAAACTGACCAATCTTCTTCAGCGGCTTGAAGTATGTTTTGATGGAAGCGCGCTTCAAGATGTAGCCAATCTTGTCAGTGACTCCTCTAACATATGGCAGTACAGCAGGTACACGCTCGACTGTGGCCGGCTTCACTCGTTCACTGTGACGTAGGCGCGGGACTCGAAGCTTGTTGTCATGCAAAACTTGCTTGACATGGTGGAGCTCTGCAGCCAGGTGTTTACTGTCACAGATCCCTCGTGCTCTCTGAAACAAAGATTTACCCACGGTAGCTAACTGCGAAGGGTGGTGGTGAGAATCACCGTTTAAATATCTATCTGTATGGGTCTTTTTTTCTATACACAGTATGGCTCAAGGTGTTATCAGGATTCCGAATTACTAACACATCTAGAAAAGCTAAGGAATTGTTTGCCTCTAACTCCATTGTGAACTGAATTTTAGAATTTATAGAGTTAAGATGGTCTAAAAATGCAGTTACTTTATCTAAATGTAGAATTGTGAAAGTGTCGTCTACGTACCGCTTGTAGAACCTTGAATTTATGGGAGAACTAAGCAGGGCTTTCTCCTCAAAGTCTTCCATGAATATGTCGGCGACAATGGGAGATACAGGTGAGCCCATCGCCACACCATCTACTTGCTTGTAGAACTCCTCCTTCCACAATAGGTAGCCAGATGTAAGGCAGTGTCTGAGTAATACCGCATATTCTACGGGCATGTTTTTTTCTTCCAGCCTTCTAGTTACAATTGAGATGCAGTCTTCAACAGGTAAGCATGTAAACAATGACTGCACATCAAAACTGACCATAGTTTCATTGTCTGCCAGATGTAGGTCTTTAATCTCGCTGACAAAATAGTAGGAATCCTTTATGTGTGCTCTTGTATGTCCCCAGAGTGGTGAGAGTATTTTCGCTAAGTGTTGAGCCAATCTGTAAGTTGGTGAATCGATTTGGCTCACTATGGGACGTAATGGAGCATTGGGCTTGTGTATTTTTGGTAACCCACACAGAGTCAGAGCTGCTGTGAGGCTGGGGCACCACGAGACGCTTAAGGACGCCTTGGCCCATGCACTGGAGGTGGAAGCCGTGCGACAGGATCATCGTTCACATCGCGTCAGGGAAGTTGCAGCCGCTACAGTCCGTGACCGCAGCAAAGGATACAGCCCTAGGTGCTATAGCTGTGGGGAAAAGGGCCATCATCGATCCAGCTGCCCTAAACGAAGCGTGTAAATGAGAGTTGATCGATCTTGAGAGGGTAGTGCAGCTAACGGCACTGCCTGGCGGCGACAGGATCATCGTTCACCTCACGCTAGGGAGGTTACAGCAGTTACGGTTCGCGACCACAATAAAAGATACAGCCCTAGGTGCTATGGCTGTGGGGAAAGGGGCCATCTTCGGTCCAGCTGCCCTAAGCACACCCTAGGAAGGGAAGGTGAACGGTCTCAGAAAGGAAGTGCGGCTAACAGCACCGCCCAGCAGCAGCAGGAATACGACTTTACTATCAGACACTGCAGCGGGAAATCTCACGGCAACGCAGATGCATTGACAAGAAGACCTTGTCCTGAAGATTGCAACCATTGTAGTAGGCAAGAGAGTAAGGAAGTGGTATCCGTGAGGATGCTCAGGACAGACCACCTCAGCAACGGGTGGAAGGACAGCCTACGACATGCACAGCAGGAAGATCCGGACATTAAGCCGATTCTGGGATGGATTAAGGCCTGTGCTACCAAGCCTAAGTGGAGGGACGTCTCAGCGATGAGTTCAACCACGAAAAGCTATTGGGCCCAATGGGACAGCTTGCTGATTCAGGATGGAGTCCTGTGCCGTAAATGGGACAATGGTCGAAGAGACAGCTGTCGTTTGCAAATGGTTGTCCCTAAAGCTAAAGTGCCGAATGTTCTACAGCTGTGCCATAATGGTCGTTCAAGAGTCCATCTGGGAGTTAAACGAACTTACTGGAGTTCCGAGAACAGTTTTACTGGGTCCATTATCGTGCCGATGTCGAGGATTGGTGTCGAGAAGAGTAAGCATGTACAAGTTGGTGCTGGGCCGTTGCGGGACGAGCATGTCTTGGGAGGGGGCAGTGTTGCGCGCTCGAGTCGACGATACACTAGCGCCAACTAGTGTCAGGAACGAGAGCGAGGGGAGCATTGAGAAAATGACGTCACAAATCAGTCAACCGACAGCGCCATCCGAAGAACTAAGTTTCTAGAAAATTACACTCGCACACTCGTCCCTTTGCGCGCATTTACTTGAATATTCCGGATGCTTCTTTGCTAATTTATATAAATAGGCGCTGCAAGATGCGATCGGGGCAGTATTGGAATTGGCGACACAAGCGAAGCTTCGGAGCGGAATAAAGTGAATTAGTGTGTTTAATTATTAGTGTTTTAAGTTTTAATTTATATAAAGTAAATTAAAGTGTTAATTTAGGTAATTTTATCGGCAATTTTTATTGTCACGAACCTCAAGCTCGTAACAATACGTTACGCTGTCCTATTATTAATAATGATAAATTGCGCAAGCAAGAGAGCAAGTTTAACATCAGCTCTCATACTTTTACCATTTTTAATAATTAACGCTATCCTGTTATTTCCCACACAATTGGCTTATAGTGTTGTACTTTCCGACATATGTATTTTATAAAATAAAGTATAAAATAAGCATATCATCGTCTACCTGATGGTAAGTGGATGATGTGGCTCATATATACCATCACTTATCCTCGATTAGGAATCAGAATATAGATGCGCTATCACCCCTGAGGATAATGGTAGTGCCTCTTTAACGGTAAAAGTATTTCCGATTCTCTATACACACCATACGAAACGGAGTCATTAGCTGCTATTTTACACTGGTTTCTGTAAGAACTTAGTCCTTCCCTTTTAAGCTGACCCATTGGTGTTGCAATCATAATAAAGCTGCAGTGTGGCCCTACTACGTAGAAAAAACTGCTGCTGGAATGAAAAAATTTGTTCCTGTCTTTAAAGATACATTATCAATACCTAAGAAATTATCTAAGTTAATTATTAACGAGGGCATGGAGAAACTAATATACATAGAAAATGATGACGTTTTAACATTTATACAAACTTATTGTCAGACTTTACTTTTACAAAACCTATGAAAGACTTGCATTGCAGTTTTATACGTGTAGACTAAAATGGTGTCAGGAAAATGTATGTTTTACTGAGACCTTTTACAGATTTCAACCGTTTCAGAAAGAAATAATTGGCAAACATACACATCGAATAAAGAACTGCCTTGTTTTTTAGTTAGTTAAAAATACTTTCATATCTTTAACTGAATTACAAAATTTATATTGTAGTAAAAAAACACTTAGAACAAATACATCAAATAATCATAAAATAATTCAATTTCTGTACATATTCCGATGCAAAAGTGCGGCCGATTTCGACAAAAAAGCAAGCAATAAATCCTAAATCGCGATAAGAGCCATACTTATAATAAAACTGCGCCTTTCTATAAACAATTTATTGCTATTACATAGGTCAATCGAACACGGCAACGCGACACGAAATCCCTTGTTATTTCACTAACAAACCCGGTCACGGACCATTTCGGGCGGACAGAGTACTTTCTTTTTATAAACACGAACGCCGATCTTAAGCACGCCAAGTTAAAAAGACTCTTTTATAAATATTTTCATGGCTAATTGTGTCGAGTTGGCTTTACTACATTTGGCAAGCACTTACTTAAGGTAGAATAAAATGCCTCTTGATCAAATTATATATTATCTGTGGTAACTTTTTATATTTAGTCTAAAAGTTTTGTCCATTAATATTGTCCATTTCCAACCTTGAAGCTTGAATTTTTTTATAATACAGTTATTAGGAGTCAGGTCATATGGAGTTTCACACCCGTGCCTTGAAATATGTACATATATACATTTTTCTAGTCTCCAATCCTTATTCCTACTGTATATACTCAGATACGTACACACCTATCGCTATCACCTCCTTGTTCTTCAAAATAATGGAAACAATTATTAACTGCCAGCAAATGTGGTAAAAGGATCACCAGCTGATTAGTGACCGCCAGTACGGTTTCCGTCGGGGTAGCTCAGCTGGTGAGATTTTGGATCACATGACTCATAGTGGGATGGAAGTAGTAGTGTCCAAGAGTAGAGTTGAAGGGAAAGGAGTTGCCCGTTAATTGAACATAGTAAAGGCCTTCTCGCTTCGCTTCTTACGAATCTTCCTTGCTTTGGGAGTCCCGAGAAATTATGCAATTGTATCACCAGTTTTCTAGCAGATCTGAGGATCAAAATCGTAGTTAATGGTGCATGCTCCGATTACGAGCCTATTAATGCTGATGTTTCACAAAGCTCCGTGCTGTCACCAACGCTGTTTCTTCTGCGTATCAACGATATGTTGTAAACAGCTACAGCAAAGCATGCTGTCATCCGCATAGCAGCAGTTTGCAATTATTTTACGGAAAAACGTCACCGAGTACCGAAATAAACTTATGTCACACTACTGACTTTGTTGAACAAAGTCTCGGACTGCGGGCGACTAAATCTAGTCCAGTTCAATCCCCAAAAGACACAAGTTTACGCGTGTACTTCGTCATACCTCGTAGCATCTCCTCAATTCCAAGGCACTCCCCTTGTTGCCGTAGCCAGTATTAAAATCTTCTGCGTCGACATAACGAGTGACGTGCAGTTGAAGTGCAGTCCTGAATGACTAACTGACGGATCAACACACAGCCTAAACCGCTGATCGTAGAGACCTGAAACTTGGAGTGGGTATTCTTTGTATAACGTAGACATTCGATAAGAAGAATTTTCAAAAATTCTACCCCTAAGGGATTGAAAAATGGGGACAAAGTTTGTATGGGACAACGTGATTCCTTGCTCCAATCTACTCCGAATTTTGCATAAACATCCTTTAACAGAATTGATGGAAGACGTGTTTCCTATTTTATCGAAACTCATTGTCAAACGGAGTTAAAAAGGGATAAAAAGTTATTTTCAGGGTGTTGGGTGGGCAAGTTCATATAAATAATCCTTAGTGCTTTAATTTTAAATAAATTTTGTTAATTTGAATTAAGTCTTATTTTGATACATGTTGGAAAACTCAAAACGTTGAACTTATATATAAGCTTGGTGCAATGCAATATTCTTTAAAATTGGAATTTATAATATAAAAATAATATTTAAATTTGATTAAAATTAAAAATTTAAATTTCATTTGTTCTTGTGTTGTTTGAATTAAAAACTTTCTTAAATTTTCCTTCGAAAAGTCCTTAGAAATCACTAGATTTACCTACTTAGCAAATTTTTGTGATTTATATATTATATTATATTATTTTATTATTATTTATTTTTCTAAAAGTAGCCTAAGTTACTCCTTATAATATTAGTTATCAGCCAGCGTAAGTTCCGTCAAAATAGGTCGAGCCTTTTGGAGATTAGCGGGAACAAACAGATAGATAGACAGAAAATTTTAAAAATTATTTTTTGTTATAAGTAATTGTTTTTGTACCGTATATTGTTTTATGTGCATTTAGTAAAAATCTGTTATTTTGACATAATAAATAGACACTTAAATTTTATTTATTGATAAATATAATAATAGTTCTTAATATTATAATATATTCATTTTATAAAATATTTAATATTCATAAATAATCATAATATTATATATTCTTAATTTTTTTCTTTAGATATCAAACAGGTTTTATCACTATAGTTTCATCGCTGAACACGTACTAAATGAACACATTAAATAGCTTCTCAGACCAAAAATGAGGCTTAATACTAAGCCCTGCATCAGTACATAAACAGGCATTTATTTTACAGATATTTTTCTTTACAGTGCCAACATCTGACGTCCAGGGTGTTCTCGGTAAAAAGGCGTCTTTGCCATGCGACATTCAGCCGCTGCATTCCGACGACGCCGTTGTTATGGTGCTCTGGTTCAAGGAGTCTGATGGAGAACCGCTTTACAGGTAACCTATATCTGCTTTCTTCACTTTTTTACTATCTTGTATGAGATTATAGATATGTCTTTATCCTTTAATTTTCTTTTTCCTTTAATTCATTTTCCGATAATATGAAAGATAAGAAAGCTCAGAATTTCACAGACAGGTCTCATTTTATTTGAAAGCCGGTATTCAGAGGCAATCTCGAATTTGAACGCAAAACTCATAATGCCAAAATTCATGTAAAATAACAAGGAACTAATGGAAGCAAAGGGATTCCCTTAAACTGCTGTTAGTATACCCATACCATAACGTGAGTGTCGGAAGTGGTGATAGAGAGAAAATAAAACAAGAGATGGCAGCAGCGTCTTCTCGATAACAAATATTATTTTCCCATCCTATATTTATTGTACAGACAGTTTAGACTCTTAATAATTTTTTTAAGATAGGGTGACAAACGAGCACACAGTCCACCAGATGGTAATTGGTTGTTGCGGTCCATAGACATCTACATCTATCCTCGATTACAAATCAAAACGCAGATACGTTGTCACCCGTAAGGACTAAGATGGAACGCCTCGTTTCCAGTAAAAAGGGTCTCCAGCTCTCTACACTCGCCATACCAAACACAGCAGCATTAAACTACTATTCCACGCTGGTATTCTGTGAGAGCGTGGTCCTTCCCCGGTAGAGCCGACCCATTTGTGCTACAACTATACTACTAATATAACTGCAGCATAGCTCTACCACGTATAAAATTTCAAAAGAAAAAACATCGAGATCCGGAATAATTATTTGTAGGCCATACAAATATTTGATCCGTTTGGGTTTCAAACCCACGGCTCTCAGCGCTGTATCTCATTGGCAACACCACGGTTGGCACGATTGAGTCATGTCTGTACTCATGTATAAATTTGGCATACTTAGGTTGACTCAAACTGAACTTAACGCCCTAGATAAAAAATTCCAGGCTACTTTAAAGTTCCATAGGATGCATCTGCCGAGATCGTCAATTATAAGGCTGTACTTGCCGCAAAAATATGGTGGCTTTTTAAGCGGGCTTACCATACGTAATCGCGAAGTGTGCAGCCTCAATAATTACTTTGTGACAAGATCGGATGATCCATTCTATAGCGACGTCATTTCTTGTGATAAAGAGCTTACCCTCTATCCCTAGCAAACGAGCAATGGCAAGACCTGGCAGTACAGAGCATTTCCGACTGGTAGACCGTATGGAAGGAGGAGGAACTCCACGGAAGGCTCTATATGAGCCTTTCATAGATACAGTTGCCTCCCTCCACTGGCTACGTTTTGGTGACCTCTTTGGGGAAACCGAGGGCTTTCTCTGTGCGATACAGGATCAGGTTATTAAGACCAACAACTATCTGATATATCGGATACATCCTAAGGGTTTGCACCTTCGACATCTGTCGAGCTTATCGGCATCCCGGTGAGTCACTTAGGCATGTCATCTCCTGTTGTCCGGTGCTTTCTAACCTTGGGTACATGCACAGGCACAATCTAGTAGCCAGAATCCTACACCAGGAGCTCGCTCTGAAGTACTTTCCCCTAACCCTTAACCGTTTGTTCTCCACTGCAGAGGACTTCGATTTGGTTAGGTTTTTATTTATTTATGTATGTTTTATTTATTTATTTAATTTTGCCGCAAGTGCAACAGCTAACGAGAAACAATATAACACATGACTGGAGCGTGTACAAGCCTCACACAGACATATTACATTACAGATATAATTAAATTGCAAACATCATACATCAAAAATTGGCACTCAGACATAAACTTATTCAAAACTCAAACAACACGTACTGCAAATTACACACCACAAATAGTTCTAGAAAATGCCTCACACAAAATTTACTACGAACGCTCTATATTTACCGACAAAATCATTCATTAATAGACCAGACATTACTCGTACAAGATAAAAATAACATAAGAGATATTGCAGTACCCAATACACATAACATTCAAAAAACAATAGCTAAGAAAATTAGTATATACGCTAAGATAAAGGAAGTAATTAGAAGAATATGGAAGCAAGAAAAAGTATATATAGTCCCCATAGTTTTCTCAATCACTGGTGTTGTTCCAAATAATATTTTCATTAACCTTAAACTAATAGATTTAACAGAAAACCCATTTATAGGCAGCCCTACAAAAAGCCGCAATTTTAAATACTTGCAGGGTAGTGAGAAAATTTCTGCAGTTGGAGCAAAATGAAATAGTTCCCTACATCTACAACAAACATACACCACACACTGTAATTGAATTGAAATTGAAAAATTGAAAAGTCTGTACTACAGTTTTTACCAACTTTTGCAAAATGTTTGAGCAAATTTTAACAATCTCCGATAATAATAATAATAAAACTTCTTACTACGTTTTTATTTTTAAATTCCCGTATGATGCAAACTATGGAGAGCAAGGATGAATTTATGATGATGGGCTAAAATGAACTGTTGAATATTATGATCTTAAATATGGATAAGAAATAACTTCTAAGATGCGAGACGTCCAGTACTGTGATCGTCATTCGTCTGCAAAGAATGGCGATATTATGGAAATTCTATTTAAGGCCTATGCCCAACAGTGGACTTATATCATTCATCCCTCCATATATATGAAAGTTCACTGCTGAACATAAGCTTCTCCTATAGATTGCCTCATAGGGGAGATTTGTTATAGTTGGCCCCTTGGTAAGCGGTTGGCAATCACAGTTTCTTTATTATTATAATAATTGTTATCAGAACTCTGCTGCCCATTTCCTGTTCCAATAGTAAAAGTACGATACTCACAGAATTATACTGGTTAGTGGTCCATTCTTACAGAGCTAATACACAGTTGAAAAAAGAATTTATATACGTATGTAAAAGCCAACGTTTTCTCGGAATAACAAATATCATAATTTATGAGCAAAGGACACCTACCACTATAACGTCACCACTACGTATACCACTAGAACGTCAATTCAGAACAAGACGCTGTCACAACTGTGGACCGCGTAGGCGCGCGCTGTTGGGTAGCTCGTACGGTAAATATGCCACGCAGTTGTGTTTTCATTTATGACTGTTACTGTTTTTAGGCAAATACAAATTAAAGCTACATACTGATTTGAATAAACTCAAAATCACAGTAACAAAGTGCCCACATAAATAATGACAGCGTTTTCTTAGTCACATAAAAAATGAGTGTTAAATTGTCGAAAACAACGTTCGCAGTTCACAAAACAAAGAAGTAATCTCATCGCTTGCCCATAGTCATATAAAGGAGTTACGACTTACGAGAAATTGACCGCGAATTAGTGCGCGCTGTACTAAGGCTGCAGAGCCCGTCTAGTAGTTAATATATATAGATGTAATTGTTTATGAACAACTGCAAAAAAAATGGATGAGTTATTGAAACTAATTATATATATTGTTACGAGCTTGAGGTTCGTGACAATAAAAATTGCCGATAAAATTACCTAAATTAACACTTTAATTTACTTTAAACAGATTAAATCTTAAAACACTAATAATTAAACACACTAATTCACTTAATTTCGCTCCGAAGCTTCGCTCGTATCGCCAATTCAATACTACTTCGATCGCATCTTGCAGCGCCTACTTATATAAATTAGCAAAATATCCAGAATGTTCAAGTAAACACGCGCAAGGTACCGAGAATTCGAGTTTTAAACTTCAAGAAGTTTAGTTCTTCGGTTCGAGACTAGATGGCGCTAGTGCGCCGATTTGAGGCATTGGAGCGCGTAACAATATTTACTTTTTTTACAGTTACGACATCAGAGGTCGGTCGTACAATCAACCGAAGCTGTGGTCGTCTCCAACGGTATTCGGAAACCGTGCTTTCTTCCGAGGAGGTGCAACACCGGCGGTTCTTTTAATAGACAACGTGGCAGCGGTCGACGCAGGCGTGTACAGATGTAGAGTCGACTTCAAGAACTCTCCAACTAGAAATTTAAAAGTCAACTTTAGTGTAATAAGTAAGTATTAGTGTAGGTTGAAATATTAAAGACCATTTTTTTCAACATACTTTAGACTAGAAATCACTTAAACCGGTAATTTTAAGCCATACAAATACTTTTTTTGTGCTTACATCGCTGCTTACATATATATATATATATATATATATATATATATATATATATATAACACGTCTCTTTTTTTAAATACTAGCAATGCTAATAAAATTACCAATAATCCCTTTAATCACTTTTGGTAAGCTTCAATCACGCTTGTGTTAGAGCTCCTTCACTATAGTATCGTTTAGATATCGGATGGCAGATTAAAATCTACGACCTTTTAGTTCGCAGTCCGAATCATTACGCATTTAAAGCGTGTCTAATTTCTATTACATAAAGGTTTCTAAGATGTTTTCTTTTTGATTGTACACCGAGGTGTGATCGCTTAGACAGAGGGAAAGAAACCAGGAATCGCCAGCGTCTTCATAATAACTAAATCAATAAATAAACTACGACTGACAACCGTGGCAGCTATGGTACATAAAGCAACATATAGGAAAAGCCTATGGTCAACAGTGAATTTTTGATAGACTGTAACGATATGACTCTATGAACTAGCCTATATAATTGCAAATAGCAATGTCATCGTTGCTGGCGTATATCGATCTTTAATTGCTAGCATATTGTAAATTTTAGGCAATGCATAGCTAATAAACTTCAATTATTCTGGTTCGCTAGTAATCAGATTGTTTCGGTGAATTGTTCAATCATTGATTTAATCTGAAATATATCACCTTTGCCCAAGCCATTCAGAAAAAATGCAAATTGAAAATCCCCTCAGTCTAGGTTTCACTCACTAAAAATGAGTTTTTTTTTTCTCCTACAGTTCCGCCAAGCCGTCCGACGATTTATGATGCCAAGAGAAGAGACAGGACGAAACTAGTTGAGCCTTACAACGAGGGATCCAACGTTTTGCTCATTTGTGAGGTGGAGGGAGGTTAGTAATTTTTTATAGACTAAAACTTTCTATTCGTTGCTTAGTCACTTATTACGAAAGTAATATTCGTTACTTGAGTATTCACACATCAAAAAAATCTTTTTAAATTCCATAAAAAGTTTATGTACATAATGAAACCTCTTTTATTCTATTTTAAAAATATAAAAATGTTAATTTGAAAAAGACAAAAGAAAAAACATTTTACGACGGCAAAATTGTTAGTAATACGTTACGTCAAGGAAACTTAAAATTGTTCTTCTGATATTAATTAATGCAAATGGATTAAATTGAGTCATGTCATGTCGTCATTTGAGTCGAGATGAAATGTTATTAATGAGTAGGTAAACGGCATGCTAGAAAATGGAGCTATTCAACGCGTCGTTTCTTAGGCCCTACACACCAGCCATAACGTGATATGAAGGTTGAGGTCACGTTATCGCAGTACTGGGGATGTGGCTGAACGACATACAGAGATATTGTGTTACTACGCAAAGACAGGATCGAGTTTTCTAAATGACCGTCAGAAGACTTTTTCTGTTTTTTGCTTTTTATAAAAAAGAGGGCTTTGTTTTTTTTTGTTGGCGCTTGGTGGTGTCGTTTCCTATAATATGAAAGCGATGCAAGTACTACAAAGGCTTCAAGAGGACCACCGGCTGCTGGTAAACAAACAAAACCGTGCGAAGAAGGTTGCATTACGTTGGTCTTCATGCTAGAGCAAAATTGCTACGTTTTCCAGCATTGCGAAGTGGCAATCGCGATCGGCGGCTTTCGTGGACTCGGGAGCATTTACCATCGAGTGACGAACAATGGTCTTCGGTGCTTTTCACCGATGTGTCCCGATATGGGCTTCATCCCTATTTACGAAAAACATGCGTTTGGAAAACTCCAGGGAGAGTTAGTAGCCATCTACGGCACTCTCAGACGGTCCGCATACCAAAGCGGTGTCGGTGTGGCAATTATGGTATGGGCAGGAAATCGTTTTGGCGAACGAACCCAGCTCATTGGGATCTAAGGCAGCATGACTACACAAAAATACTACGAGGCTGTAGTAGATCTTGTTATTGTCCTACACAGAATTCAAATGGGCTAGGAATTTCTACTCATGCACGATAATGCTCCTTCCTATACAGCGCGGCTGGTGTCAGCCGTTCTCCGAGACTACGATATTTAAGTATTGGATTGGCCTGCAGAGTCGCCCGACTTAAATCCTATCGAGCATGCCTGGAATACAGATTTTAATGCCTGGAATATGTTACATCGAAAAGGTTTGAGAGATTTTCCGTCAAATCTGACGATGTAACAACAACTTTACGAACACTTTAATTTTAAGTACTCAACAAGAAATTGACAATTTAATTTTTAGTATGAACAATGGATGTCGATGTGTAATTAATGTAAGAGGTAGCAACACCGATAATTAAAAAATAGATGTTAAAAGATTTTTTCAATTTAATTAAAATTAATAGTTTTTACGAAGAAATGAAGTTTTTTTTATCATACTAATTTTCACGGTGATTTAAAAAATTACATTTTTATTTAAATCGAATGAATGATATGATTTTTTTTATTAAAGACCTTAAAATAACCTTTAATTCTTCCATTAAATATATCAGATAATTCTTCATAGATTTTTAAATATTTGACAAAATATAAAATATCCCTAGATTCCGTTAATGTGTTTATCTTATGCCAATAAACACAATAAAGTCTGTATATTTTAGCTAGATAGGTACAAGAAAAGTCAATTAAAATTGACGGTGTAACAATATCCACCACCCTATTTTGTGCCCTTGTTTCTTAGAAGGAGAGAAAGGGAAAACAAAACACAGACATCTTCCTGATAAAAACTTAAATATTTAAAATACTCTACATATCGTCCATAAGTTGAGCTTAACAGCAATGCTGTTAGGGTTCCCTCAAGGTCTAAATTTCAACGTAATATCTTCACGTTCTGGTTAATAAGAGGATATTTGCTTTTTTAAAGAAGTATATCAAGCAAGCACACAGTCCATCTGATGGTAAGTAAATACAGTGGAACAGAGGAATCTATCTATATTCTCGATTAAAATTCAAAAAGATGATCCGTTGTTACACCTGAGTACTAGTGCCTTCTTACATAAATTTTAGCATTCTGCACTCCTTCTGCATATAATTTTTTTATACTCAAAATCACACTTCTTGAGCTTTATCGATTGATTAAAAGGAGTGCAACGTTAAGAACTAATTAAGTAATATATTGATTCAACTGAAGTAATCAAATATACAACAGATTTTAATGATTAAATAAAACTTTGGTAAACGTTTTAAGATTAAACCTTAAAACTTACGGACATTTAGCAGTATTTAATTTTATAATATTTAACGTGACTTGCGCTGAGTTGATGAATTGCTTGTTGCTGCAGTCAATAAGTACTTAGTAATTTTTAAACATCTATTTACAAGTAGGCTACGTCGATATACCGTTTTAAAGGGTCGTTTTCTATCACTATTTAAACTGTACCGTGCTGTGTTTTCTTGATAATATAAAACAACTTTTAAATAAGTAATTTTACCAATTTGCCTTTTCTTTAGTATAAAAATAGAACTATCGTGATTTATTTCCTACAAATTTTGTGTAAAGGTGAGGTTAACGATTATTATAACCTGTTTCCATTCTGTCTGCCTGCTATATCACAGCTACATTAACTTTTAATCGATTAAGGTAAACGATCATTAGTCTATATTCTAGATATCGAAATTTTTAGGTCGTATTCTATACGAGTAGTATATACTACAAATACAATTTTGTAACTGCAACTTGAGTACTTACAATGTAATACCCCACCATATCGCCGTAAAGTATTAAATAATGCAACTTTTTAATTAAAAATTAGGCTTTTATTGAAGAGTAAAAGCAGACTACGAAAAAAGCAACAAAATATCATATAATTGCTTCAGAAGTCGCTAAGAAGTAGTAAATCCGTAGAAGTATTAAAGCGCCTATTTCAGAAGCTTCTCGATGAGTAGGCGGCAGGACTTCTTTTCTGCCTAAGAATCAGTCTAAGTATGTACCCACTCTGTTACCTATTTCTATCTGCAAATTTTAGTGTTTGTACCACTTTGTTCCGATCTGCAGAGTACAAATGGCCAGTATAACGGCATTCTATATTAGTCCTCATAAGTGACAACCTTATTTGTTTTAATTTGACTGCAGATGTCCATTGACTTTTTCTTTCCGGTTCTCTACACTCACCATATGAAACGCAGCAGCATTTATTTATTTGTTAAAACTTCATACAATATGTATGTTTGACTTAATGCCCGAGGCATTCTCTTGGTCAACCTTTGGGTGATGCAGAGATAAAAATATGACGTAGGTGTGTGAAACGCTGGACAACAATTATGTAAATTAAAGTATATAAATATAAAACATAATAATACATATACTTACATATTAGAAATTATTTAATACATGCATAGTATTATATTATCTAAATTAATATACATAAAATTAGTAAATTACACATAATATATAATTATATAAAATTATAAATAAATACGACTAATGAAATTATTCTGCCAGTTTATTTATGTAATGTTCGCGAACTTTTTTCTTGAATGCATAACGATTATTAGCCGATCTAATTACAAGAGGGAATGTGTTCCAGAGGAGAACAGACTCTACGGTGAAGGAAGAATGCAATAAGCCAGATTTATTAGAGGGACACTTTAGTAAAATATTGTTCGAACGCAGGTTTCTGTCATGGCTAGAGCAAAGGTACTGAAAATGAAAAGTTAAGTAAGAGGAGGGAGTAAGAGACATCAGAATGGAGTATAGTGCTGTGAGTGCGCACATACTTAGTCGCTTACGAATTCGTAATAGTTGGAAACGATAAGTAGATACATGACCATACTTACGAAGATTGAAAATGAATCGAATGCAGTTATTAAGAAGTCGATCATATTTGTCAAGAAGGTCCGCAATCAGGTCAGAATAACACACAAAACCAATCACCATAATCATTTAGCATCATTTAGCTGCTATTTTACGCTGGTATTCTTTGAGAGCGTGGTCATTCCTCGGCCGAGCCGACCCATTTATGCTACAACCATAATATAGCTGCAGCATGCCCCTACAACGTATACTGGATGGCTGTACTAGACACTTACAATCGGGTGGACTATGTCTCACTTCAATTTTATAAAAACAATAGAACACAAACATAATACGGCTCTGAGGCATTCAAGAGGCAACTCAAGTCCTCAGAGATGGCAACCCCCTATGCTTAATATTAGCCGCAGGTGTTCATACCTTCAGTAGCCAATTACAATCACGTGGACTGCTTGTCACATCAATTTAAAAAAAATACATTTTACAAAAACATAATAATAACGAAAAGTAGGTTTTTATTTATTTTGGAACGCGACGATTCGTTTATTATTGCTTACAAACTTCAAGAAGTCTCCGTAACCACAGTCATCAATCTTAGTAACGATTTCCCATTTCCCATCAGATACCGTGATGGATCATTTTTTACTTTCCACGATTAGTGTTTGGGCCGTTGATTGACACTCCACTAAGTGTATATTGAGTCGACATTCGGGGATCTATATTTTATTAACGAAACTAAAAATAGGATGACCGATTTTATTTTAAAAGAAAAGCGATTTGTTTCTTTTTTCAAAACGTTAGAACTTACGTGAAGAATTTAACTTTAATTAGTTCAATAAACTCTTTTGACGAATAAATATATCAACTATAGATATATCTGATAGTTACATTCGATGAAAGATGATGACAATATTTACTTTACTATTCAGGGAACACTAGCCTAGCATTTCTTGCCTGAAGACGTAAAAATAGCTCCAAGTAAGGGCTGTTGTATTATGAGGTTCTTACATAACAAATTCTTTAAAAAAATTTGGACGATAGAAATGATGACTATATATTTCGTTTCTTTTTTTAAACTTTACCCCTCCGCTTCCCCCTCCACACAGACAAACATATACACAAATATTTT